CTCCAAATCGGCACGCTGCGCGGCCTGCCTGGGGCAGCCGCAAATAGCATGGGCAATGTCCACCTGCGCAGCTCCGCAAGCAGCACAGCGGTCCAGAGCGACGGAGAGACACGGCACGCCAAGGACTGGGAGGGGCCATGCCCCGGACATACGCGCTACGGACCACATGCGAAAGTCGCGCCACATATGTGGCCCAAAATCCAACTGAAGTAGGGCCATCGGTAGCTGGTTGGGCTCGGGGACGAGCACAGCAAAGGACATCCCGAGCGTGGGCAAGCAGGCGCCGGTCGCGCGTTGGAACGCGGCCCGATCGCGCGCCCGCAGGGCCGGGCGAACCACCTGGAGTTTGAAGTCACGCAGCAGAGACCTACGCAACTGCAGAGAGCAACTGTTTCTCTCTCTCTCTCTCTTTTTCTCCCTCTCTCTCTCTCTTTCTCTCTCTCTCTCTCTCTCTCTCTCTCTCTTTCTCTCTTTTTTTTTCTCTCTCTCTCTCTCTCTCTCTCTCTTTCTGTCTCTGTCTCTGTCTCTGTCTCTGTCTCTGTCTCTGTCTCTCTCTCTCTCTCTCTCTCTCTCGCCCGTTCCTCAAAATATGCCTCCAGCAGTCAAGGCATGTACGTTGACGTGCCTGGCGTCCCGACTGGCCCCGGGAGAGTCCCCACGCTAGCCTTTTTTATACGTGCCTCCCGGCCATAGAAACCCGCAGTAAACTCAGCATAATTCTGGCCCTGTCGTAAGCGACGACGATGATGCACAATAGCTGCTCGTTTGCCCAAGTGCGCTGGAGTGGCGTGACCTGCTTTTGTCGGTTCCAGAGGCCGACCGCCTGTTATCGAACCCAATTCGCTCGGAAGGAAAGCATCGCTCGACCAAGCAGCAACAGCGGCAGCGGCAGCAGCATCAGCAACAGCAGTAACACCACGACGGCGACCAACAACACCAGAACCAGCAGCACCAGCACCGACGCCCACGCCAGTACCACAACCCCGACCAGAAGCAACGCAGCGACGACCAGTAGCACTAGCATCACCACGACGACGACCAGCAACGGCCCCACAACGACCGCGACCAGCAGCACAACGACGGCGACTAGCAGCGGCACCACCTGCTTGACGACGACCGGCAGCACCAACGCCAACGCCCACGCCAGCACCACCACAACCAGCAGCACCACGAGCACCACCACGGGGCTGCCGCGCACCCGCCTGCGGGCCCCAGTTCCCGGGTGTAGGACGGAGCTGCCGCGCTCCCATCTGCGGGCCCCGCGCCAGGGCCCCCGCTCCAAGAACCAGGAAGACTGGCGGGACAGCCTGGGAGGGGCGCGGCCAAGCGCGAGCTCGCGAGGGGGAACGGGGGCTGAAGGTGGGACGGGGCTGACGCGCACCTGCATGCGAACCCCACTCCGGGCGTGGAACGGGGCTGCCGCGCACCCGCCTGCGGGCCCCACGGCCAAGCACCCGCCGCCACGCAGCGTCTGCCGAAGTAGCGAGAGAGAGAGAGAGAGAGAGAGAGAGAGAGAGAGAGAGAGAGAGAGAGAAAGAGAGAGAGAGAGAGACGACGACGACGAGGACGCGGCGACAGACAGCACCACCACCACCACGACGACCAGCAGCACCAGTATCACCACGACGGCCACCAGCAAAGGCACCACCAGCTCCACCGCCCCTTGCACGACCAGCCACAGCAGCAACAGCGCCACCACACCAGCGACTGGCGCCACCGCCACCAGCACGACCAGCAGCAGCAGCAGCAGCAGCAGCAGCAGCAGCAGCAGCAGCGGCAGCAGCGGCGGCAGCAGCAGCAGCAGTAACACCACGACGGCGACCAACAGCAACACCAGAAGCAGCAGCACCAGCACCGACGCCCACGCCAGCACCACTACGACCCCGACCAGAAGCAACGCAGCGACGACCAGCAGCACCACGACCGCGACCAGCAGCAGCAGCACCACCACCACCACCAGCGCGACGACCACCAGCGACAGCACCGCCGCCACGCCGACCAGCAGCGCCAAAAAACCAGCAGCACCACCACGACAGCATTTCCACCACAACCAGCAGCACCACCACCGCCACCACCACCACCACCACAAGGCAACCGGTCCAGAGTGGAGCGGGGCTGGGGGGCGGGACGGGGCTGACGCGCACCCGCCTACGGGCCCCACTTCCCGCGTGTAGGACGGAGCTGCCGCGCACCCGCCTGCGGGCCCCACGCCCAGGCCCCCGCTCCAAGGGCCAGGAAGAATCGCTGCCCGTCGGTCCTGCGTCACGCGCGCGTCGCGCCTTGCGCGGTGGAACTGTTGCGCAACATCGGGGAGGAAGCTGTTCGCGCTGGGGTCAGCGCGCGGCGCCATGCAAATTACTGGCGCCGCGACGGAGCTGTTCGCGCAGGAGTCGGCGCGCGGCGCCAACCGGTTCCCTTGCTTGCCAGCATAGCGCTTGCGCGCGCGCAGGCGAAGACCCACGCGACGCAGGGGAAGCCCAATCTCGGATCGCACTGTATCGCGCTCGGGTCGGCGCGCGGCGCCAATCAGATTCCGTCGTGTGGCGTCGGCTACGTTCTCAGCCAACGATGTTCGCGCGGTGGCCAGCGCGTGTAGCCAAGAAGGGTGGCGCCTCGCCGCGCGGCTGGTAACAGCCGACTGCGGGCGGGCGCCCCTGCGGATGCGTCGCAACGGCGTCGCACCACCACGCGGGGGGAGAGGGGGGCTGCGTGAGAAGACGCTCGCTGCAGCCGCCTTGTTCGCGCTAGGGTCGGCGCGCGGCGCCAGGTAATTTCTCCTCTCGCCTGGTGAGCGCTCGCGCGCGCAGGCGGAGACTCGCGCGTCGCATTGTTGGTCCACTCCCCTTTGGGGGTTCGCCTACAGGCGAACGCTCCATTCTTGGCCTTCGGTGGGGCTCCCTACGGTGGGCCCACGAAACGCGCGAGGGCTGTGCCGAAGACGAGCGCTGCGCCCACGCACGAACGGTGGGGCAACGAGCGGCTGGTGCTGGGGTCTGGGGGCCCGGAGGGTCGGCGCGGGGGGTCGCCTGGGAGAGCTCCAGACAATACACCACCACCAGCCCTGTCCAGGCCTATCCTGGGCCCTGGGCTGGTGTACAGGTCCTCCTGATACACCAGCCCAGGTCCCAAGATGAACCTGGCCAGGGCTGATGGTGTATTGATGGCGTTTCTCTGAGGGCAACGCGCGGCTGGTGCATGGGTTTGGGGGCCTGGGGAGTCGGCGGAGGGGTCGCCTCAGGCGCTGCTGCCGCGAGCGCCGGGCGGAGGTACTCCCCATAAGAAAACTCTTGAAGGGGCCCTGGGACACACAACAAATATACACACAAATAACAGGATTCCCAATATTTTCCTGTATTTTCTGGGTTTTTGTCTCCCCCCCACTTCCCATAACTATTTCCCATATTTTCATCGGGTTCAACGATGAATGGTGTCTGTGTGTTTTTTCCCCTCCTGAACTCTGCAGTGCCCTCTGTGAAACTCCCTTGTGGGGCCACGGCGCGAACCAGGGACGCGCGGAAACGAGCTCGACACCCACATGCGCACGCTCCCTCGGGATCTTTCGGTGGAGCTCCCCAGGAGAGGGGGGAGCAAGGAGAACGCCCCACTGCGACAACACCGCAGAGTGGCTGGACCGAAGAATATCCAGCGCCGCAAGCGGTAGAGAGCCCAGCACCACTACGATTGCGCTGCGGTCGCCACCAGCCAGTCGGCAGTGCCGCCCGGGGCAGAGCCACTCGCAAACGGCCCCGCTGCCTCTCGAGCAGGGCAGGGAACCGATGAAGACTCCGCGGGGCACCAGCGTAACCAAAGCACCACTGTGCCGCAGCCTCTGACGCGCCACGACAACGCCAGCGGGCGTCGGGGATGGCCTTCGCGGGCGCCGTGGTGTCGAGGCCAGCAAGCCCGTCTGCGGCGGTCGCCGCTGGCGCGGCCCCGCGTCTCGCGCGACCTGCTGAATCTGACCTCGCTTCCTGCACGCGCGCGCTATCTTTGAAGGGGCCCTGGGACACGCACATAAATACACACAAATAACCGGATTCCCCATCTTTCCCATGGTTTCTGGGTTTTTGCCTTCCCCCCACTTACCATGTTTCCCCATATTTTCCGGGGGAATCGACGATTAATTGTGTCTGTGTGCTTTTTCCCCTCCTGAGTCTTGGCTGACACGCAGGGGCAGGCACAAGATTGTCCTCCCGAGTGCTTCCGGGCATGGTTCCTCTCTCTCCGCCCGCGCAGCCGCCCTAGTCTTTCTCCCTCATCTTGCACGCCGGCCAATTCGCCTTTCGGTTGCCCCTTGATGCCACACGCTGGAACGGACTGCCTCTGCCTCGCCGCCGACTAAACAAATTCTGGACATGGCCCCTGCCTGTGGCAGCCTGCTGCCGGTGCCCTCCCTTCACGCGCGCGCCGGGCCTGGCGGCCCGAATGGCAGCATGACAGGACCAACGTTGCACGAGCATCGTAGGAGGCAGCGTTGCCAGAGAAGCACACCGCGACTGTGAAGCAGGAGGCCCCATTGCACAACAACGCCGAACGAGCAAGAGGCGCAACACAGCCGTGAAACAAGAGTGCGGACAGGACAACGTCTGGGAAGCGCAGTCGGAATGACACCACGACTCGCCAACATTTGTATGTTAAAAGGCACTTGGAACGCTGCCGAAGTATCCAACGCACCAATTTGCGGTTCGCGGCGGACACAAGCCAGGCGCCATCCACCATGCAGACAAACTGACACTGGATGGGGGGGGCGGCAAGGAGGGGAAAAACGGGCACGCCAGAACATAAGTCTGTAATCCGTTGCAGATAACCCTGCCGTGCCGACCTGGGCGGGGTGGCGGCATGCGGACTGCGTCGCTGGGGTCGTAGGTGGAGCTCCCCCAGGGACACGAACCGCGAGGGGTGTGCCGAAATAGCAGCGGCAGGGAGAGGGAGAGGAGGAGGAGGAGGAGGAGGAGGAGGAGGAGGAGGAGGAGGAGGAGGAGGAGGAGGAGGCAACCGAGGAGGCGACGGAGGAGGAAGGCAAAACGAAGAGACGCGCGGCGCCGCGGAGGAGAAAGCGAGGACTAGACAGCACAGGAGCGATGGCAAGCATAGCACTGCGACCGCTACAGCGTTCCAGCTTCCTAAAAACACGAAGAAGCAGCGGGTCACGCCTGCGCTGCCGAGCGCAGCGACGTACATAACATGAGCGACGACACATCGACACATGCGCACGGTGTCTCCTCCTCCTCCTCCTCCTCCTCCTCCTCCTCCTCTTCCTTCTCCTCCTGCTCCAAATCCACCTCTTCATCCTTCCCTCCTGCTCATCATCGTCATCCTTCTCATCCTCCTCCACGCAGGGGCTGTTTTCCTAGCTCGGTGCTGGTCGTACACACGAAAATTTTCAGGGCCGAGACGGAGTGGAAGCATAACGAAGGATGGAGGATGGGAAAATATGTTGCCAAGCAGAACCCCCCCAAGGAGCCGCGACGATTTCAAAATACTACATGTTGCTTTCCTCAAGATGGACCGCGGGGAATCATCATGGAACGCCCGCGCGCCGTCGAATCGCCGCGCGCCGCCTGCCCCCGCCATTGAATCGCGCCGGGCGAACCGCGGAGGCGCGATCAACGCGGTCCCCGAGCCAGGCCGCCGCGTGACCGCCATGGAACTCATCGCCGCGATGATGCTTCATTCCGCAATCGTCGGGCATAGCGTCCGCGCGAATTTGGGCGCGAGCCGCAGTCGAAGCGCAGGCGGAATCGGCGCGCGCGCGCAGCCGTCGAAAGGCCAGGCGCTGCCCCGGCCGCACGGCCGATAGCTTGCGCGGGCGAAAAACCTCCCAAGCTGATTTATGATGGAACGCGCCGGCGCGGGACCGACGGACCACAAGAAAGGGCCACTTTGGAGACCCCGCGCGAAGAAGAAACGCTCGAGCGCGAGCGCCACGTGGGGAAGTGGCGGGACGCCAGAGGCGGTTGGGTTTCATGCCCGCGCAAGTTGAGCAAATCCACTTCTGGGGAGTAGCGCGCGTGGGGCCCACCGCGGGCGCGGGGGCCGCTGGCGCAGACTCTGCCGCAACCGCGGCGAGGCCCCAGCGCTCTCCCCTGGGGGCCACGACGCGCGGCTGCGCTGGTGTCGGAGCAGAGGGGCCTGACGGCAAACGTCGGCTTCGAAGCCTCAGCGGCCGGCCGCGGGCGCGGCGGCGCAATCGCGAACTCGCCGCGCGAGGCAGCGCAGCCCGCCGCGAGGACATCCTCTCCAACCGAGCGGGGGTCCCAGGGGGAGCCGCCGCTGGCCCCTTCCCCGACCCCCCCGCCGCGTTTCTGCGGCGCCCTGCTCCCCCGCCCCGTTCGACAACGATTTTGGACACTTTTGGGGCAACGATTTTGCGCACATTTTTGGCCTCCCATCCGCGGAGGCGCACTTCTTGACCACGATTTTTCTTACAATTAAATCAATAAGAAAAAATCGTGTTCAAAATCGTGGGAGATTTCGTGGGGCCTTGCAAGGGGGCGCGGAATCGTGGCTGAAAATCGCGGGCAAAATCGTGTCCGAAATCGTGGGCGAAATCGTGTCCGAAATCGTGGGCCGAGTCGCGTTGCCGAAGTCGTGGAAGAAATCGCGGGCGCAGAATCGCGGGCCTGCCCGGTGCGCCGGCGTGCCAAGCAGGCGCGCCCGCGCACCATCAGCGACGGTAAAGAAAAAAGAAAAAGGAGGAAGCGGCAGCAGCGGCAGGAAGGCCAGCGGCAGCAGCGGAAAAAGGAAAGAATGGGAAGCAGCAGCAGGAGAGGAGAGGAGGAGTCGTCGAAACTGGCCCGCCCGTTCGTCGCGTGCCCCACAGCGCGCTGGACATGCCCCTCGGGGGAGACTCGCCGGCCCCACGGGCCAGAGGGGCGCGAAGATTTCTGGCGACTGCCTCGCAGCATTTCTGCTTTGCGCGCGCGGGGCGGCCCAGAGGGGCCCCCAGACGCAAAGTGCCCCGGCCAGGTCGGGCCAGAGATGGTTCTTCTCCTGGGCGCGGCTTTCAGGCGCCCCGAAGCGATGCAAGAGGGCCCCAAGAGGCGCCCGAGACGGTCCAAGAGGGCTCCGAGTCGTCGAACGATCGGCCCGCGACACTCACGATGGCTTCCAGACGGCCCACGACGCGCGCAAGACCCCCGAAGAGGCCACCGCGAGCTGAAACGATACCCGAAAACGCGATTCTGAATTTGTTTTTAATTGTAGCTGAGAGACAAGGCGGAAACAGACCGAGGGCGATACCGCTCGAATGACGCGTCGAAGCGAGATTGCGCACAAGCCGCACGCCGAATGCCCAATATCGGAGCGGGTCGGCGACGCAAGAAATTCTGAACAAAGAGAAACCGAAAAACTTTGAAATCTAATATTTCCTGCTTCGAAAAAAAAAAAAAAAAAAAAAAAAAAAAAAATCGTTGCACCTTTCCGCTTGGGGGGCGCGGCTTCATGAAATGTGGGACTTCAGCACCGCGCTTTCTGCAACACCCTCCAGACGATGCTGGCCAGCGGCGTGTGTCAGCGCAGGCAGCCTCACATCCGAGGCAGGGCCTGGCCAGCGGCGTGTGCCAGTGCAGGCAGCCTCACATCCGAGGCAGGGCCTGGCCAGCGGCGTGTGCCAGTGCAGGCAGCCTCACATCCGAGGCAGGGCCTGGCCAGTGGCGTGTGTCAGTGCAGGCAGCCTCACCTCCGAGGCAGGGCCCCACACCTCAGGAGGAAGAGCTGAGCACCGCTTCGCCGATCCCCGTCCCCCTGGGCGTGGCCCCGGCCCCCCCCCCTGGCCGGCTCGCCCACCCGGCTGGGTATATATATATATATATATATATATATACATGCATACATACATATATACCTATATAAACATACATACATATATATACAGACATATATCCATGCCTCTTCCTCCGGGCCTCGCGGGGCAGATCCCCACTCGGAGGGTGGGCTGAGGGGGCTGCGATGCCATGGCCCAGCGGGGAGGATGCAGGAGGGGAGGTGGAGAGGGAGCTGCGACGAGCAGGAGGGGAGGTGGGGAGGGATGCAGGAGGGGAGGTGGGGAGGGTGCAGGAGGGGAGGATGCAGGAGGGGAGGTGGAGAGGAGGTGGAGGTGGATGCAGGAGGGGAGTTGCGACGACAGCGGCAGCAACCGCCGACTCTTTTCAGCGGTCGTCGCGGAACCCGCCCCGGCGCGGGCCAGGCGCGCCCGCGGGAGCGCAGGAAAGGGCAGCGGGCAACGCCGCGGCTGCCTCCGCGGCAGCCCGTGAGGGCCCCCCTCCGCCCGCACACCTTTCCCGCCCAGCCCAGCCCGTCCCTCACTTCATCCGTCCGCCGCTGCGACTGTCCGCGTCCCCACGCCCCTTCCTCCTCCCTCCCTTCCTCCTTCCTCCTCCTTCCTCCTCCTCCTCTTCATCCTCCTCTTCTTCTTATTATTATGAATAGGTTTCGTCTTCTCATTCTTGTTATTATGTATTCTCCATCGAAGTATGATGCTTATTCTTCTTAGTCGTATTCGTATTATGTATAGTTCTCTTAATGTGGTTCGCATTATTATTCTGAATAGTCGTATTAGTAAAAGTCTTATTCTGCTTCCCAGTATTATGATTATTCGTCATGTTGCTCTTTTGATTCTTATTCGTCTTTAGTATTATTCGTATTACTCGTACTATTATTATTACTACTATTATTCGTATGCGTCGCATGTTTAGTATTATGATTCCTCTTCCTCCTCCGTCTCCTCCTCCTGTTCCTCCGGTCTTCTTCTACGTATTATAGCGGTTCGTTTCACTATAACTAGTAGTATGCTTGTTGATTATGCGTATTCTCATCCTTCTCATCAATAGTATAACTCGTCAGCTGAATCATCTTATTATCCGTACGAGTATGGTTATCAGCCCTACTACTGTCATTAACAGGATACTTCGGACTCGCATCAGACTTGTTGTACTGAGTCTGATGCGCATTAGCATTATCAGCATCACAATCAGAAGTAGTATTAGTATTCTTTTTCGATATACGAATGTGATTATGTTTAGTGCTAGTATTCCCCCTATTCGTATAATCATGCGTATTCGCCGTCTTCCTGTTCCCAGTAGTATTCCTCCTCGTCCTCCTCCTCCTCCTCCTCGTCCTCGTCCTCCTCTTCCTCCTCCTCCTCGTCCTCCTCTTCCTCACTCCTCCGCCTCCTCCTCCTCCTCCTTCTCCTCCTCATCCTCCTCCTCCTGCTCCCTCCCTCTCTCCCTTCCTCCCTCCCTCCCTCCCTTCCTCCCTCCTTTCCTCCCTCCCTTCTCCTCCTCCTCCTCCTCCTCCTCCTCCTCTTCATCTGCTTCTTATGTCTTAGTAGTATTATTATTCGTCTTAGTATTCGTCTTATTAGTGTTATTAATATTATTCATATTGTTGTGTGTCGTCTTCTTCTTCTTCTCAATCGTTTTCCGCCTCCTCCTCCTCAACAGCAGCAGCTGTAGCAGTAGGAGTGGCAGCATCATCATCATCATCATCATCATCATCATCATCATCATCATCATCATCATCATCATCATCATCATCATCATCATCATCATCATCATCATCATCATCATCATCATCATCATCATCATCATCATCATCATCATCATCATCATCATCATCACTCATCATCACTCATCATCATCATCATCATCATCAGCATGCAGCATCATCATCATCATCATCATCATCATCATCATCATCATCATCATCATCATCATCATCATCATCATCATCATCATCATCATCATCATCATCATCATCATCATCATTCTCATCCTCATCATCATCATCATCAGCATCAGCATCAGCATCGTCACCGTCGGCATCATCATCAGCAGCATCATCATCATCAGCATCATCATCATCAGTATCAGCATCATCATCACAATCATCATCAGCAGCATCATCATCAGCATCATCAGCATCATCACCTTTATCACCAGCATCATCATCAGCATTACCACCATCATCATCATCGTTATCGCCAGCATCATCATCATTACCACCACCACCATCATCAGCATCACCATCATCATCAGCATCATCATCAGCATCATCATCATCATCATCATCGTCATCAGCATCGTCATCATCAGCATCAGCATCAGCATCAGCATCATCATCACCATCAGCATCATCTGCCTCTTCCTCGTCTTCGTCATCGTCCTCGTCCTCCTCCTCCTCCTCCTCCTCCTCCTTCTCCTTCTCCTTCTCCTCCTCCTCCTCCTCCTCGTCCTCGTCCTTGTCTTCGTCCTCGTCCTCGTCTTCGTCCTCGTCCTCGTCCTCGTTCGCGTCCTCCTCCTCCTCCTCCTCCTCCTCCTCCTGCTCCTCTGCATCCTCCTCCTCTTCCGTATTTCTGGCGCCCTGCTCCTCCGTCCCCACCCCGTGGGCAGCCAGGACGGAGCGAGGTGCCAGCCTGAACATCGACTTGCGGCCACCCCTACCGCCCGACGGCGCGGCAGAGCGGCCCTCACGACGGGGGCGCTGCTGGCTTCGCCGTGTCCATGCGGTCGAGCTCCTG